AAGTGTCAGCTGATGGGGCGGAGCCATAGCTAAGGCGTTGACCTGGGACACATGTGCGTGGCGAACCAGGGGTCAGTCCTGGACTCCACGTATGGTCCCCCGAACCCCTCCAGGAGTGATCCCTAGCATGTTGGGGGAACCAGTTAAAACTGACACCAGCAACTGATGAGACTTGAGGGGAAAGTGCCTGGGTGCCCAGTGCTTGGGCCAGAGCCCAGGACACAGGAGCTTCACCCACTCATCAGCCCGGGGTCTCCTCTAATGAGGTCATCACTGCCAGTAAGCAGAGACCCCTAGTTCCCTTTCCATTGGGTGTTATTTTATTTTTTCTTCCACGCTTGGCAATACTCAGGAATTACTCCTGGCAGAGGTTGGGGGATCACATGGAATGCTGGGGATTGAGCCCAGATTGGCCTTGTACAAGCACCCTATACAGTATACTTTCTCCAATTCCATTCACAATTTTTATTTAGCTTTATTTGGTTTTGGGTCCCCAGGCTTACTCCTCACTCAGAATCACTTTTGGCAGTGCTCAGGGAACATTATATAGTGCTGGGAATTGAACAGGGGTTGACTGCATTCAAAGGCCAGAGTCTCTTTCTCTTTGGTCCTGGTTTTCCATATAATTAACATTTTACATTGGTTGTTACAACAGATGAACCAATATTGGCACGCTTATAATATTATATATCTTCTCGATAATTACCTTATTTTTTATTTTGGCTTTTTGGGTCACAGCTGGTGATGCTCAGAAGTTACTCCTGGCGGTGCTTGGGGAACCATAGGGGATGCCGGGGATCAAACCCAGATATTGGCACTTTTGGGGCGTGGGGGGACCCACACCAGAAGGTACTCAGGGATCACTCTTTGAGGGACTATGGGATTGCCAGGGATGGAACCCTGCAAGACACTTTGATCACTATATTATCCCACCTCTCCCACAAGATTTTAAACTCCTGGAAAATGAATTCTGGAGTCCTCCAAACAGCAACAGAATGGGGTTCTCATTTGGGTCCAATCATTTTCCGAGACATGACTGCCCAACAGTGCTTTAGTTAGGTTTCGTAGAATCAATACATAGTATCTTTGAGCACATTGGTTTGTGGTATTAGAGGCCATGAGGGTACCAATTCTAGAAAAAGTTGTGACTGGGGTGTCCAAACTTTCCCTGTAGTATCTGCTGTGTTGACCTGAGCTACACTTAGAAATGCACGAGGAAGGGCCATTGCTTAAAAACATGTAGCAGACAGGAAATAACCTCAAAACAGTATTTTTTGGGGGACCCACTTGTTTTTAGAGAAAAAAGGGAACTGTCAGCGTCCTTACGGTAAGGCCATTTTCGGAAGGAAATCAGCATGAGATCGGTTGAGCACCCACATAAGTGCTCCCACGGGCAGTTCCCATCTCGATAGGACCAAGCAGCCCAAACCAAGTGCCCACAGAGATGGCCCCTAGGGCCTATGGGGTGGAGAGTGGGGGGCCCTAAAGATCTGGACAAGAGGACAAGACTTATAATACGTTCAGCTGCCACTGGGCTCACAGCTCTCTGGTGGCTTCAGTCAGATGAGTTTTCATCTTCCTTTTTTTCTTTTTGGGTCACATTAGGCAGTGCCTCAGGGATCACTCTTGGCAGTGCTCCGGGGACCATGTGTGGTGCTGGGGATTGAGCAGGGGCTAGCAAATACCTTACTTTCATACCATCTCTGGCCTAGGAGTTTTCTCCTGGCCCTTTGGCATTTGGTGTCTGAGCACTCCATGGTTATTTGATGTTGACTTTAAATTTTGATTTTTTTGGTCATACCTGGTGTTCGGGCTTACTCTTGTGCTCAGGGATCACTCCTGGAGGGCTCAGGGACCAGATGGGGTGCCAGGTCAGCTGCATGCAAGTGCCTTACCCTCTGTATTCTCTCTGGCCTCTGACTTCTGTTTGAGCTCTGCATTACAAATCCAGAGAACAATGGAGGGGCAGGAGGACTGCTGAGTGCTGGCGAATGTGTATGCAAGTGCATGCCTCAAGATCAGCGTGGGAACAGGTGTGGCTCAGCTCCAAGCACCTGAAGGTACCAGAGTATCTCGCACCTGCACCCCAGGGCTCTGCAGCCTCCAGAACCGTAGGCACCAAGTCCCCAGCCAATCTTCACCAACTCACAGGTCCCGTTTTCGGGAACGCCGGTCTATTGGCAGGACACACTCCTGTAGGCGGTCTGCCCAGATAGCGCAGTGGTGTGTCCCCTCTGTCCCTGCCGCTCCAGACCAATGACAGGCATCTCTCTCCAAGCCAACATGTGAGCAGTGTGGATGCAGCACCTGGCCATCCCATCTCTGATCCCAGACTCGCCTGCCTCCTAGGTGACAAATGCTTCAAGGAACCGACCAAGGCCACTGAGATAGGTGGGCTCAGGGTGGGGAGGGCTTGTCTGACCCTGCCTCGGCCTCAGGCATCTCCTGGGGGGTGAGTGTGAGCAGTCCGCAAGTGAGAATTTGTTACACTTCAGCATCCAAATAGACGATCACTCTCACGCTCTCACAAATTTTTTAAAAACATTAGCCATTTTAGATAAAATTTTGGGAGACTTTCAGCTTTTTTCTTTTGCTTTTATTACAAGCATATAATATTAATTGGCAAAACACTGAATACAAGCTTCACTATCATAAAATCAAAACATTTAAGCAATATCCCAATAAATTTAGACAAAAACTAGCCACCAATAGTACAAAAGTACACACCAACACAAAGCATAAAAAATGTAAACTTTCAAATGAAACAGTCAAAAATGTGTATCTGCACGGCCATGTCCATCTGCGGCGTAAGCTTCCATGTTGCCACACAGACTTCTTGACTGCAGTGGCGAGCTTGTGCCCGTAACCCCACATCACTTCACTGGGGATAAACAATTTTTTCATACCCAATTAAGTGGCTGGAATAGACAGTGACACTAATGCTACATATACTTCAGGGGATATTCAAACTTGGATTGGGGCCGGAGGGATAGTACAGCAGAGAAGGCCTTACAGGTAGCCAAGCTGGATTCAATCCCCGGCCCCACACATGGTCCCCTGAGCCCAGCCGGAGTGATCCCTGTGATCAGAGCCAGGAGTAAGCCCTGAGCACCGCTGGGTGTGGACCCCCAAGAAAAATGAAACAAAACACCCCCAAAACCAAATCCGCCCGCCTGCATCCATCCTTCAGATGTGCTCTGGGTCAGAGCGCAGACAGGTGAGGATGGGGGCGGTGGGGAGCACCTCCTGCCTGCCAAGGACAGGCTGTTCTAAGACTGGAGTTTGGCGGGTGGCGGTTCACTAATCTACTTACCCCAATTTACTCAGGATACCAAGGCAGAGAAACACATCAGCTTATCACACTAAGGTCACATGTGATGTGGTGGAGTGTAAATGATTTCCTGAGGAAGTAGAAATGGGATTTTGTGTGATTTCATTTTCTGCACTAAATTTGTCTTTAATGTTTTGAGAGCACATTAAATATTCATGTACAACGAAGAAATCAGCCGGCTCATTCCTAGAACATTCAATCCGATGACATTATTTCAAACTGCTGTAAAAGGCCATTCTGTGTACTTTGAGGAAAAAAAAAAAAGTAAAAGGAAATTTCTAAAGACTCCGAATGCCCACAGTAGCACCATCATTTCTGTGGCTGAAGCAGGAGCCCGGAGCCCAGGCAGCCATCCTGCTCACCGGCCTCACACAGCTGCAGCCTTGCACAGGGCAGTGCGCACAGCGTTCTCCTCACAGTAGCAATGAAAAGCAAAAACCAAAAGTTTTGAAGTTCCACCTACATTTTTTCCCTTTCAACTTAGCAGAATAGATGCTACATCCTAATTCAGTCATGTCTAAGAAATGAAGTTGGAGCAGACTGCACAAAAGCATACTCAATGCTCTTCATCCATCAAACACACACGTACAAAGAAAAAGAAGCTTGCAAAACATCTCACAATTTCATTTTATATGCCTGTAAATAAAGCTGGACCACTGAAACCAAACAACTGGATGGGAAAATATGATAGAAGGCTTAAAATAGAATAAATAATCTTATAAAGTTTTCTTTTTTAACCCCCCAAATCTTAAATTCAATATTATATATTCTATTTGAATTTTCTATGCTCGTGAAAATGGCATCTAGTGAGACCGTGAGTGGGGCAGCCGGCCCCACTGTGGTCAAAGGTGCTTCCGGAAAGGTAGTGACCAGCATTGTTTCACCAGCATCAACAGGCATGAAAACGACTTCACAGTAACTCCGTCTGCTAAAAATCACTTCGTAGGAGCCAAATCACTCAGTGATTCTTGTTTTCATGCTGGGAAAAACATTCAGCCTTTTGGTGTGAAATGAAAGCTTGCAAGGGTGCTTCCCTCGGACGCAGGCTGGCGTATCTGGGTAAGGCTGCAGTCGGACCAAAGAGGCAGGAGGGCGCCCTCTGCAGGATGAACTCTTAGAAAAATAGGTACTTTAGCTGCTGAGGTTTCGTCAGGTTCACACGATTACAAAAGCGGGTCGGAGAAGTCAGTGGGCAGCTGGAGGAGTGACAGGCTCCGACTGATCGCCGCCATCTCCGTGTTTAAACAGATCAACTTAGCACCATAGCAAATTCAAGTGATTTCAAAAGAGAGCTACAAAGTTACAAATACAGAGCATGAGACTACTGCCTCAATATTAAGTTAAATCTGAATTGTAATCGATTCTGTTTGAATTTGGACGCTCATACTGTTGAACCCTTCCTTCCTTTTGCCACACAGGAAAATACCTAAATTCTAATGGCACCAACGACTGTCAATATGTGGTCTGTGGAACGCTTCAGCAGTAATGTTTATTCTGAGGTAGACAGGTAGTATTTACTCACACATCTACTCTTTAAACCCTTGTATAGGAACTCTAAAAAATGATTTGGATGAATAGCAAGCTTAGGTAACTGAATAATCCAAACAGTACTGGGAGTTTAAATAAAGAGGGGGATTTTGATCCAATCCTGGCAAATCATTTGTTCTCATATTTTTAAAAGGCCTTATATTAATATCACTTGGGTTGAAACACTTTGTTTTTCTGATCAAAGATAAGATCACATTAGCAGCTGCTTCTGATACTTTTCTGTAAACAAAACAGGAAGAGAAAAACCAAACAAAATTAGAAGTCGACGAGCCCAACTATAACTCTCAAAGCAAATTCAAGGAAAGATTCCGGTCACTAAAGTGAAATACTCCAAGAAAACATAACCCGTAGGCACCCTGAGGGGCCCTGTGGGCTGAAAAGGCGGGTAGGGGTGGAGCCGGGGCCCTGCTGCCCACAGCGTCTGAGCACAGGGCTGGCAGGCATGTGGCTCCAGACTCACTCCTGCCCTTGCCCACATCTTCCCAAGAAGGCCCTCCCCGAGGAACAGCTGCCTCGGTGCCGGCTGAGGCAGCTCAGGTCATCCTGCCAGGGGCCCCACAGACCCCCTGGGGAGGGACCTGGAGAACAAGGGCTTTCTGCACTCTGGTGCCAACTGGTTGCACTGCCTCCAGCTGCCAGGCAGGGGTGTCTGCAGCTGCGTCCAGGAGAGCGCTGGGGCTCCCTGCCCCTTGAAGGCCACATGGCAAAGGTGAGTTGGGGAGTCGTCATCTCTGCTATGCCTTGTAATATGGAAAATCCAACATCAAGGTTAACTTCTAATATTAATGGAACCCTCTTTTGGTCTGTTTTTAAATTAAATTTTATATATAGTCTAAATCTCCAGGAAGCTAAAGGCAACATAAATATCATCATTCACCAAGAAAGGTAATTTCTTAATAACTTAGGAAGGATTCAAAAACCGTACAAGAATTTCCAAGGCTTATCATGAAACCTAATTCATAAACTAACTGAAAAGACCGAGATCTTCAGACCTGGAAAGCAAGCAAAGGTTATGTGAGGGCAGGTCACCACTGCACGGGACTCTGGTCTCGGACGGAAGCAAGGGGTGAGCGCGGGTCAGCTATGTGAGGCTGTGAAGTGTTTCCCATCGTGGAGCGCGGTGCTGGTAGTGTCTTGTCGAGTGTGAATTCTCTCATACAAAAGTTATAAATATTCTCTATTCAGAAATGCGGTCCACGTGACACCCAGAGGCAACGTTCTCAAGCGTGGCGTGGTCCTGCCCGGCCACACGCTTGCTCGCTCGCTCACTCACACGGGTGTGCAAGGCCGTGTGCGGGGCCGCCGGCCGCTCACAGCAGGTCCATCTTGGGTCTGTAGTGCAGCAGAAGTGGTGCCTTCTGTAAGACAAACAGTGCTCAGGGTTGCGAGCATGTGTGGTGCCCTGCCTTGGGAAGTTCATGCGCCAGAGACAGGGAGATGGGAGTCCAGCCTCTGGCCTTGGTGACTCTCCTCTGTGCTCAGGGGCTACTCCTGGCTCTGCACTCAGGAATTACTCCTGCCGGTGCTTGGGGAACCCTATGGGATGTTGGGGATGAAACGCAGGGCAACTGCTGTAAGGAGTTGTAAGGCAAGTGTTCTGTACACTGTACTATCATTCCGGCCCACCCACTCTAGAAATAATAGGCAAGTCTCACCTTGAATCTCCACCTGGTGACGACCACAAACTTGAGGGTGTGGTCCTTGCCCAGGATCTCCTCATTGCACAGAATGTCCAGCTAGTGGGAAGAGAAGTTCTGGTCAGGGTTGAGCACTTGATGCCTGGCACACAGCTGGGTCTACACCAAAACCGTTCAGATGGTGGCAGGATGCTGTGACCCATGTCGCCCTTGGCTGCTCTCTCTGTCCTCCCTCATGCTCCCTCCAAGGACTTTTCCTTTATACATTTTTAGGCTCATGGGAAAATGAAAAGAAGACCCCAACCTCCTCACCTCCAAACACTCACGAGATAGTCAGAATCAATGGAGCTGCACAGACTTGTCATCGTCCCCCAGAGTCCACAGTCACCCTGGGTGTTAGACATTCTGTGTCTTTGTACAAATGCATCCATCCTTATGGTACTGTACAGAGTAGTTTCACTGTTCTAGAAATCCTCTATGTTCCACCTAGTCACAACATGACATGCGCCCCCCCAGAAACCACAGACACTTCCCCAAGCTCCCCACAGACACTTCCGTATCTCCCTAGCTATGCCTTTCAGAAGGGCCCATGGGCAGAATGACCCTTGTGGCCTTTCCAGACTGGTCTCTCTCTCCCTTAATCACATGCACTTGTTTACTTCATGGCTTTTTGTTTTGGGACCAGATCCAGCAGGGCTCAGGGATCCCTGGGGCAGGGGGTAAAGATGCCAGGCAACAAACCTGGGTTGGCCATGTGCAAGGAAAGTGCCCTACCTGCTGGACCATCATTCCGGACTCTGTCCGTTTTTCTTATTAAAGTGCTTTTGGTGTCATATCCAACAAATCAGTGTCAAATTCCGTGTTGTACAGGGAGTTTTGGAGAGGTAGCCCTAGGGGCTGGAGCACATGCTTTGCATGCAGGAGGACTGACTTTGAGCTCCAGCACCAACAGGAGTGATGGGGAGTAGCTCCCGAGCAATGCTAGGTGCGGGTCAAAAACAAAAAACAAAAAAGAAGCAGACTTACATTGAGATCCTTGATCCTATGAGTCAGTTTTTTTTCCCCTTTTTTGCGTCACACCCAGTGATGCTCAGGGGTTACTCCTGGCTCTGCACTCAGGAGTCACTCCTGGTATTGCTTGGGGGACCACCATATGGGACGCTGGTCCAGCATCAAATCCCTGTTGGCCACACGCAAGGCAAACACCCTTCCCACTATGCTATTGCTCCCTTTCAGTCACCTTTGAGTCAATTTTTATATTTCATGTTAGGCAAGGTTCAGCTTCATTCTTTTGCATGAGAACATCCAGTTTTACCAGCACTATTTATTGGAAAGGATAAGTGCCTTACCCACTATAGTATCGTTCCAGCCCCTCTATTTTCATTTTCATGTTGCTTTATTTTGGGTTCTTCAAATTCTGTATGAGTTTTAGAATACCTCTTTAAAATTTCTGCAAAAAATTGTCATTGAGGGCCACAGAAATAGCATAGCAGGTATCTTTTTGCATTTGCCTTGCATGAAGCCTGAGTTTGACGCCCAGCGCCCATATGGTCCCCTGAGCACCGCCAGGAGTAATTCCTGAGTGCAGTGCCAGAAGTAAGCCCTGAGCACTGCCAAGGTGGCCCAACAATCAAAACAAACAAAAAAATCTCCAAAAAATGCCTCTGAGAATTTGGGCTTAGTTTTTCAGTTTTTGGGCCATACCTGGCGATGCTCAGAGAACCACATGGGCTCGAACCCAGGTTGGCTGCATGCAAGGAAAGAGCCTTACCCACCATACTAATCTCTCCCACTCTGTCATTGAGAATTTGGAATGCACTGAATCTAGAAACCACTTTAGAGAGCAATAGACATTTTAATCATATTAAATCTTCCAATTTAGGAACATGAGATCTATTTCCATTTATTTTTGTCTACTTTCATCATTTTGGTAGTAGTTTTCATCTTACAAGTCTTTTTCTTCTTTTTTCCCCACTTTTTGGGTCACACCCGGTGATGCACAGGGGTTATTCCTGACTCATGCACTCAGGAATTACTCCTGGTTGTGCTCAGGAGACCATATGGGATGCTGAGAATCAAACCTGGGTCAGTCGCATGCAAGGCAAACACCCTACTCACTGTGCTATCGCTCCAGCCCCATCTTTTTCTTTAGTTACATTAATTCCTAAGTATCTCATTCTTTTTGACATTATTATACAGAAATGCAACTTATTTGTGAGGACTTTTTTGGGGGAAGGGAAAAGTGGGGACTGAGCTAGACTTGGCAGTGCTCAGGGTTGACTCCGGGCTTTGTGCTCAGGTCTGATTCCTGGTGGGACCATATGGGATGCCAGGAACAGAACTCAGGTAGGCTGTGTGCAAGGCAAATGTGCTACCCACTATACTATCACTCTGGCCTGTGACATTGAATCTTACCAGTGTACTGTGTAAAATTATCCCTAACAACAAAGTCCAAGGTTGGGATATTCCCCAGGGTAAGAGTTTATGTCTTAGGGGCTGGAGTGATAGCCCAGCGGGTAGGACGTTTGCCTTGCACACGACCAACCCGTGTTCGATCCCAGCATCCCATATGGTCCCCTGAGCACCGCCAGGAATAAGTCCTGAGTGCATGAGCCAGGAGTAGCTTCTGTGCATTGCCGCCCCCCCCCCAACAAAAGTTTGTCTTAGAATGTAAAAAGTATGCAAACATACACCCAGAAAAACAAAATAAATCTGCTTAGGGTCTCTTAGATGTAGAGGCTGCATGGGCAAAGACAGAATGGGATAACGTCAGGATTTTATACTTTCAGGGTGCCTGCTGATTTCCGGACCCCAGCCCCTGTACTTAAAGTACATATTGAATTTTGATGTACTCACTGTCCTTAATGTCTCTGTCAACTTGAACGATGGTTCATGTGCTGGGAGTCCAGGATGGGGGAGCAGATATCCTCCTGAATAAATGGTCAGCCCATGAGACCACAGAGGCCTGCCTGAGTTGAAGACCCTAAAGTGTTTGCCTTATTCTGTGACTGATCCCCGCTAGATAGAGGTTGAAGGTGCAAAGCCAGCTGGCATCTTTCTAAAAGTTCATTTGCTCATTCTGTGAAAAACTGGTATTGGTGAAGCCACTTTATAGTGTATAGTGGCACCAAGGAGTTTTAACAAGAAAGCAAAGCTGTCAGTTCTCTGAGACATGGTGATCATGGACTTCCTGTAGAAGCAGATTCAAGAGAATCAGCAACCCCATCATGAGTCACCAAGGATGAACCTGCTCTGCAAAAAAAATTTTTTTTTGGTGTGGGGAGGTCATACCTGGTGGTACTCAGGGCCTGCTCAGGGATCTAACTGCGATGCTGGTGATCAAATCCAAGTCAACAATATGCAAGGTGAGGTCTGCTCTCTCTGGCTCAAATCAACCCTTTGTAACCATTTACCTCAGTTTTCCTCCAATGAAAACCCCTGACTTTGTCCCCCTTTGGGGGAGCATTATAGGTTTTCTACCTGAATCTATGCACTTTGGGCTGCAATTTTTGGTCCTAAATAATCCACTCTGCCTTTCTGTCTCCTGAATGTTTAGGTTGACAGTGCTGGCTGTGTGTGTGGTAGTGATTTTGCTTATTGGACGCCAAGTTCTGCTTGTAGTGTCATTGTCATTTTCAAAGAGAGACCCATCATCATCGCTGAGGAGGACCACTAGACCTCTTCTTTTGCTCCTTCCTGTCTGCTTTCTTTAGTCTAAGCAAGTGGAGTCTGTGCCAACACAATGTCCTCAAACAACTATGGCTGTCTGTCTTGTGCATATCCTGGATCCAAGTGCCACCATCCTTCCTGAATCATTTCTCTTTATCCCTTGTTCTGCGAGAGCTCAACCATCACAAGTGACACTAATTCTGGGCCAGAGCAAGAGTACAGTATGTAGGGTACTTGCACCTCATATGATCCGAGCCCTCCAGGAGTGACCCTTGAGTACTGAGTAAATCCTGATTATAGCGAGGTGTGGACAAAAAAAACAAACAATTGTTGTTTGTGTGTGCCACACCCGGTGGTGCTCAGGGGTTATTCCTGGCTCTGCTCTCAGAAATTCCTTCTCGTGGTGCCTGGGAGACCATATGGGATACTGGGGCTAGAACTCAGGTTGGCCGCATGCAAGGCAAGCACCCTACCTGCTGTACTATCTCTCTGGTCCAGAGTAACACTAATTAATTCTTCAGTCATAAGTGTGCACAGCCAGTATCCTGTCCAGCTTTCCTAACAACAGAAACAGCTTTACTATTTCCTAATAGTTGTGTTAAACCACTATTGACATCTGTTTGCAATCTACCTTGGCTGTGGATTTTCCAGGTCAGTTAGTGCTGGATCCTACTCTTGCCATTTCTTCCTGAATCCATGACTCCTCTCACAGGTTGTTGTAAGTAGCATGAATTAACAAGACCATGGGACCAGGGAGATAATTCAAATACTAGAGTTTATGTCTAGCGTGCATAGAGTTCAATCCCTGCAGCTGCATGGCCACCCAATACCACTGGGAATAAGGTGGACTCCAGCACTGCTGGGGAATCCCCACTCTAAAAAAAATTAAGAGAAAAGAAACAAAACCACACCATAACACATTGCCTAGAAATGCCCCTAGAATCCCAGTCCTGCTCCCCACGTAACCATTCCCAGTCACATGTTCCATAATCTCCAGAAAACATGCCACTTATGTACATGGTCCCTCAAAGACAACAGACCCTTACCTGAACATGTCCCAGGGCCATCTCTGACAGGCACATTCCTACCAACAGTATCCTCAAGACAACCTAGGTTTTTTATTTGTTTTCCAAATTTTTGGTTTTGGGCCACACCTGGTTGTTCTCAGGGCTTATTCCTGGCTCTGCCCTCAGGAATCACTCCTGGAGGGGCTCAGGGAACCATGTCGGATGCCGGGGATCAAGCCCAGGCTGGCAGTATGCAAGGCCAGTCCCTTTTCCCACTGTTTTCTCTCTGCAGGATATAAAGTAAGCACCTTAGCCCCTGTGTATCTCTCTGCCTCCAACCCAGACTTTTCAAAGATGCTTCTCAAAATCCTTCCGCCAACTCGAGAGCCACCTTGCAGCCTGGCTCCTGTTGTGGTGGGGCAGCACTCACACCCAGGAGCAGACTCACTGGCTCCCCAGGACAACACATCCTAACAGCAGGTTCATTTGGGTGGAGCCCAAAGGCCAAAACCTAGGGGCTGGCAAAACTGTCTTCTTAAGAGGTTCTGGGAGAAGATACTTCTGCCTCTCAGCTCCTAGGCACCAGGCACCATGGCCACATCCTTCTGCCTCTGTCTTTATTTCATACTGCTCTAAGGAGTCAAAATTCCTTCTGCCTCACTCTTAGGAGGACTTATGGCCCACCCAGAATCTCAAAGTTTATTTCATCTTAAGAGCCATAATTATATCTCAAAGACCCTTTTTCAAAAAAGGGTCTGTGCACCATGTCTGGCGGCCCGGATGTGGACATGACTGTCCAACCTGCTGTCCTCTACAAACCTGTCTTCAGTTCACCCATTTGCCTCTGTCTTCACAGCATCATCCTACTGTCTCTCATGAAACCTGCCAGAAACCACCCATCACTGGCACCTCCTGCTTCCATTTCTAAAAACAATAAGTAAAACGTGAGGGTCACACCCACCAGTTCTTGGGATTACTTCTGGCTCTGTGCTCAGAGATCACGCCAGGAAGACCTTGAGGGAATATGTGGTGCCGGAGACTCAACCTGGGTCAGTCACAAGCAAGGCAAGTGTCTTAGCTTCTGAACTCTCTCTCTAGCCCCAGCTCCCCTTTCTATACACCCTGGCAATTCATCTCTTCATGGACTGAAGACCAATTTTTTTCCTCCTATTTTATAGCTGTGGGGTCATACTTGTATGGCGAAGGACATGAGGTGCTAGGGGTCAAACCACTGCCTCACACCTGTAATGTCTGTGCTTCCTACCTGACTCACACCCCTGCCTCTGGCGACTATTTGGTTTTTGGGCCCACCTGGCGGTGCTCGGGGCTTACTCCTGGTTCTGTACTCAGGATCACTCCTGGCAGTGCTCAGAGCTGATTCCTGTCTCTTGAGTTCAGGGATCATTTTTGGCAGTGCTCAGGGGACCATATGGGGTGCTGGGATAGAACCCATGTCAGCCATGTGTAAGGCAAACACCCGACCCACTGTACTATAGCTCCGGCCCAACCCAATCCACCCACCGCACCTTCTCTTAAGGTCTATTATCCTAGCCTGCCCCCCTACAAGTTCTATGTCTATGTCAGTGGTCTCATCCAACCTGGCAACCCTTCTGCACACCACCAGCCACAAAGACTTCTCTGCATATTTCTGTAGTACTAGGATTCAAATCCAGGCCCTCAAACAAGCAAGGCAAATGTTCTGCTAAGCTACATTTTCCGTCCACCAGATTTTATTTTTATTCTCTTCACTTGTCATAACTTGGAAGTGTAATATCTGTTATCTGTTGGATATTAACCCTAGGTTTTTTAGGCTCTATCAGTGAATTGCCCCTTTTCCTCTCCCCAGAGAAGGTTACAGTGCTCCTATGAGCACTCCTAATCCCCTGAGTTTATCTTTAACCATTCCTTTGTGCTTTACCTCTCCTTCTGTTAGCTACTAAATTCCCCAAGTCAGGCTTGGTACTTAAAAAGTCAAATCTTCCCACATCCAAAAGAACAAAAGCAACTGGTGTTGGCATGGATGTGGGGAGAAAGGGACTCTCCTTCACTGCCAATGGGAATGCCAACTGGTTCAGCCCTTTTGGAAAACAGTATGGACACTTCTCAAAAAATTAGAAATTGAGCTCCCATCTGACCCAGCAATACCACTTCTGGTAATATACCCCGGAGAGGCAAAAAAAAGTATAATAATGGGGCTGGAGTGATAGCACAGTGGGTAGGGTGTTTGCCTTGCACGCGGCCTGACCTGGGTTCGATTCCCAGCATCCCATATGGTCCCCTGAGCACTGCCAGGAGTAATTCCTGTGCATCGCTGGGTGTGACCCAAAAAGCAAAAAGCAAAAAGCAAAAAAAAAGTATAATAGAAATGACATCTGCACTTGTATTTTCACTGTTTACAATAGCCAAAATCTGGAAAAAACCCGAGTGCCCAAGAACAGATGACTGGTTATACAGTGGAATACTATGTAGCTGTTAGAAAAGATTAAGTCATGAAATCTGCGTATATGTGGATCAACATGGAAAGTATCATGTTCAGTGAAATGAGTCAGAAAGAGAGGGACGGACATAGAAAGATTGCACTCATCTGTGGAATACAAAGTAACAGAATAGGAGACTAACACCCAAGAACAGTAAAGATAAGGACCAGGAGATTTGCCCTACAGATTGGAAGCCGGCCGCACATGCTGGAGAAAAAGGCAGCTCAGACAGAGAAGGGAACACCAAGTAAAGGGTGCTGGAAGGACCCCCTCAGGTTTGGAGCTGCCGAAAATAGACTATAGACCGAACACGATGGCCACTCAGTACCTCTATTGCAAACCATAATACCCAAAAGGAGAGAGAGAACAAAAGGGGATGTGCTTCCACAGAGGCAGGGTGGGAGGATACTGAGATCATTGGTGGTGGAGAATGGGCACTGGTGGAGGGATGGGTAACTGATCATTGTATGACTGAAACGCAAAACACAAACGTTTTAAAGTATGTAACGGTGATTCACTAATAAAAAATAAAATAAACATTAAATATCAGTTCTGAACAAAAAATTAATAACAAAATTAAGTTAAAAAAAAAGTCAAATCTTCTGGTTACTCTGGACTTTGTGTTTGCAGTGAATTACTTGCTTTTCTTTCCTCTATAACCTTTACATACTTTTCTACAGAGCAATGTTCTTTGCTTAAACACAGAAAGACCATTAATGCTATGCTCCTAGTATTTGAGAGTTAACTAAAGTATACTCTGAAATATATCTACTCCATAATTATTTATACTACATAAATTAAATATATCTACTCCATAATTATAATATATTATAAATATATATCTGTCATAATTATTTGACTCAGGCTTTAGTTCCTAACACCCCGAAAAGGCAGGCTCCTGCCGAGGCATCAAAATGGGACAGTCTGAAAGCATAAAGGATAGTCTTGATGCAAGTTGTAATGACTTTTAGAGACAGGGCCCCATGGGGTAGGAAAACTAAATTAGCCTGAGGACCTAGTCTAGGATTTACAGTAAAACCCAAGTTGGCTTTTAACCTTTCAGCCTAGGAGAACTATGTTTTGGTATCTGTAACTTTTACTGTGTTTATCCAAATAACTGCAAATAAGAAGTAAACTTAATTGTTTAATATATGCCAGTAGTAGCAAGGGAAAGAGAAGAGCAACACAGATGCCCCCTAGAAGACAGAGTATCTCCTAGAGTTAATTCCCTGAAGAGAATTGCCTCTGTTGAAACGCTTTACCTCTATAAATGGTCACACCTACATGCAGTCTTGAACTTTAAACCCTCTCAGATTTTGTATAAACGCTATCCAGTTCTGGAATTAAGCAGACCCTTTTGACATCTACCCATGAGTCCTCCAGAAGGACTTCATTCCTCTGCTGGGGACGCAGTTCTTGGCCACCGTACGCATCACACACTTAAATTCAGTAATCTAAGTATCCACTTCCTTTTTATCCATCCTGTTACTGTCATTTATGGACTTCTATCATTTACATCTGTTTATATCCTATCATCTATCATTATCAATTACCATGTACCTACAAATTTGTCCATTCACCCACCGACCCACTCTTCCTTCCAAATACTTGTGAAATTAAAGAACAGAATTTGTCTTTATGATAAAAATACTGACCATGTTTTAGAATAACCACACCCCACCTGCCCCATGCTGTCCTCTATGTGGCCTATCATTATCCTCAAGGCTATTTTCTATCATAGCATCTGGAAATAAAGTAAATGAAAGTTTTTTTTCCAGATTAAAAATTTCTATTCAAAGTAGCAAAAAGAAAAAAAAACACAAAGAACTTCAGAAGCATGATTGTACATGTAAGAAATGGCTTGTGAAAATTTGATTTTAAGGTTCAACTGTTACCTCGTTGAAAGATGAAAGGTTGAGCTTTTTGGCGATGAATTTCTTTAGATGTAGGACTGTTGCTTGGGCTGAGCAGCGGATCCATTTCCGTTTCAAACCCCGCAGTTTGCTGCTATTGCATTCCAGACAGATGCTCACCTTTAAGGAGGGACACAGACTATTTGTTTGATATCTGCTAATTCCATTAAAATAAAGAGATCTGACTTTTAAAATCAGAAATCTATTTTGATTTAAGAATTGAAGAAAAAGTTTAACTTCAATGATCTTATACATCTTTTTATTCTTTGCTTGCCATCTTGTAAAATATAACCTAACTCTATTATTATTAATTCCAACTTCTCCTTTGTGAAGGGCCACACCTGGCAGTGCTCAGTGCCTGGTGGGCCCCATGGTACCAGTGAGTGATCCTGTAGCTTCTGCATGCAAAACACATGTTTCAGCCCTGGGTGGCATCTCCTAACCTTGGCAACCTCTCTCTTATGAACAGAATACTCAGAAACTGTGTGCAGGCATGAGAGAGAGAGAGAGAAAGAGAGACAGAGAGAGAGAAAGGAGAAAAAGGAAAGAGACAGGAAAGAAGAGACAGGAGAAAGGAAAGAGACAGGGGAGATGGGGAGACAGAGAGATGGGGAAAGGGGGTGGGAGAGAGGGAGATAGAGAGAGCTCTATCTTGAGGCTTCTGATTACTGCTCATCACAGGCAGTAGACTCCAGGATTATCTGGGGCTCTACAGGTATGAAGAGGAGAGACACAGCCAACAAGAACACATCAGTGACATTTTAATAAACAATTCATATTATGTTTGGCTTTGAAGAAAGACAGTATACTCATTAGGGAAATTAATATTCTTGATTTGCATGAGAAGACTTGAAAAAAGGCTCAAAACACGAAAGCTCATGGTTATCTTTCCTTTTTTTTCTGGGGGGGGGCAGTTGTTGGGGCCACACCTGGTAATGCTCAGGGCTTACTCTTGGCTGTGCACTCAGGGATTACTCCTGGTGGTGCTCAGGGAACTATATGGGATACCAGGGATTGAACCCAGGTTGGCTGTGTGCAAGGCAAGTGCCCTGCTGTACTATCGCTCAGTCCCAAAAGTTCATGGTTATCTTTCAGATGATCAAAAGTTCGTAAGAGTGGAATATACAGTGTGGAAGGGAGCTGCTAGTATTTCCAGGATATAGGGCAGCCAGGATGTACAACAGACTATGCTGAGGAGACCACACAGAACAAACAAGCCTCCTCTTACACATAAGAGAACCTCCTCAGGTGAGAAAGAAAGACGCTGCTAGGGCCGGAACGACAGTATAGCGGATAGGGTGTTTGCCTTGCACACGGCCAACACGGGTTCAATTCCCGGCATACCATATGATTCCCCCAAGCACTGCCAGGAGTAATTCCTGAATGCAGAGCCATGAGTAACCCCTGGGCATCACTGGGTGCGACCCAAAAAGAAAAACAAATAGAAAGAAGCTGCTAAACATGGACATGTTAACCTCCCTAAACACATTGCATATGAGATTCCTAAGAAATAAGACACGAGGGGTTGGAGAGGTAGTACAACAGGCACTTGCCCTGCACGTGGCTGACCTGGGCTAGATCCCCAGCCCCCATATAGTTCCCTGAGCACAGCTAGGGATAATTCCTGAATTCAGAGCCAGGAGTAAACCCTTAGCATTATAGAGTGTGGCCTCAAAACAAAAACCCCAAAGGACAGAAGCCTCCTCAGACCCAGGATGTGAGAGTCTCCTTACAAGCAGGCCACAAGAGTCTCCTCAGACATGGGACAAGAGCATCTCCTTGGACATAGGATGCAAGAGTCTCCACAGACACATGACACAAGAGTTTCCTCAGACACAAAACATGAAAGTCTCCTTAGACATAGCACACAAGGTCTCCTTAGTCATAAAACAAGAGGTTCCTCAGACTTTTGGTCTCCTCAGACACAGGGCACAAGAACTTCCTCAGACACAAGACGCAGGAGCCTTCTAGACACCGTGCACACAAGAACTGCCTCTCAGGCAGAAGAGACAGCACAGTGGTTAAGTCTCTTGTCTTGCATCCTAAATATGGTTCTCTGACAATCATTAAGGGTTACTCCCAAGCATGAAGTCAGAATCCCCACTGAACACTGCCCCCAGTGAATGACATATTGGCGCTCTCTCATTACAGAGGAGAGGAGTAACGTCAGAATGAAGTGGAAGTTTTTTTTTTTTTTTTTGTCACACCCGGCGATGCTCAGGGGTTACTCCTGGCTCATGCACTCAGGAATTGCTCCTGGCGGTGCTCAGGGGACCATATGGGATGCAGGGAATTGAACCTGTGTTGGCCATGTAGGCTGCGTGCCAGGCAAACGCCCTACCCGCTGTGCTATCGCTTCAGCCCCGAAGTGGAAGTTTTTTTATCTAAGATTTCTAGAGACAGAAAAGGAATTAAAAACGTATCATTGGGGCTGGAGCGATAGCACGGAGGATAGGGTGTTTGCCTTGCACGCGGCCAACCTGGGTTCAATTCCCAGCACCCCAGATGGTCCCCCAAGCACAGCCAGGAGTAATTCCTGAGTGCAGAGCCAGGAGTAACCCCTGTGCATTGCCAGGTGTGACCCCCCCCCAAAAAAAGTATCACATAATGAATAAGAACTAGGGAGGTGCATAATATAATGAAACCTAACTTTAAAAATAAAACCTACGGGGTGGGCCTGGGGGGTCACTAGGTCACTGGGGGGAAGGGGGGAAGAAGCAGAGGGCTAAACCATACTATTTTTGTCAACCATAATATCAACCAAAAGAAAACTCACAACACAGGAAAAAAGCCTCAAAGATCCAGGCCCTAGGGATGGGGACATTTTGGAACCTGAAGATGCCAGATGACTAAGCTAAATGAGCAGATGATGAGAGACTGAAATTTTCTCATCTACCCAGGTCTTCTCCTACTACCCAGAGACCCCCTGGCCCTTGCTCTCTTCCCCTGCATGAAGAACTATTGACTCTCACCCTCTGCTACTCACATAGACTAGAATGCTGAGCCCCGGCCAGAGGTCTCTCATCAGATGCACCTGAGAAACAAATCCTAGAGAAATATAGGAAGAGTGTGTGTGCATATGCATCTGTGTGTGAGGGGTGTGAGGGCTTGCTTGGCCGTGGGTGAGGGTCCTGAAGAGGGCTCTGCCCATGAGACTATGCAGGGTATGAACACCCTGTGAACAGAACAGACACAGGTGCTCGCTCTCAATCAGTGACAGATTCTTTCTCCAGGAAGTAGAATGAAGTCATGATTTCTGTATCAGAAGTTCTCTGCGATACAGGCCTGAAAGTCTGGAGCCCCAGCCAGTGACATGGTCTCTGTGGGCCACCAGGACAAGCTGGCTGAACTCAGGGGGCCATAGCATGCCGGGGATCCAATCTGGGGCCTTGTTCATGGTAGGCACATGACCTGATATTGAGCTATATCCCTAGTCCCCAGATTTCCTTTGAATTTATTTTGTTTGGTTTTGGCTTTGGGGCCACACATATTTGTGCTTTGGAACTATTCCTGGGCTGATGAGTTTTTCCTGGTAGTGCTCAGGGGACCGTATGGTGCTGAGGATTGGCCTGGGCCTCCTGCATGCAGAAACTGCACGGCATACCAGCACTTGGAAGTATTTCCTTGCCCCTGATTTTCCTTTCTAATCTGATGGTGTAGTAACTGACAAAGATTCTTCAATGTTCCACTTTCATTTTTCTTTTTGAGACACTAAATTCCATTTTCTTCCAAATAATACTTGCATATGCATAAAAAAGACCTGGCATTGAATCGTCCAGCAGCAGTCTGGGGGTGGGATGCAGTGGAGAAATCCACGGAGTGTAAACTTCCTTCTTTTCTAGTGAAATGTTTTGCACTAAGCATCATCACTTTGGTAATTATAAAAAAGAAGGAAAAATAAGGTTGATCCTTGGGGTTCTGGGCTATAAAGGTGCAGACATTTCAGCATCTGCATCATCCCCCCACCCTATCGGCTTTAAACAAAGTAAAGTGCCCTGCAGAAATAACCAAAAACATTAACTTTTTCTGTTACAAGTACAAGGCAAACCAGACTGTAATGAAGCAAGTGTTGTTCAGTTCACAGAAAGAAGACATCTGGTACCTGCTCATCACTTCTGTGATAGTCATTGTCTTCTTCCTGCTTCTCCTCTGCGGCTTCTTTGTTGGAACTATCATCTGCTTTGGTTTCACCTTTTAGCAAAGACAGAAACCAGAATGCTGAACTGTTACATTTAGGGTTTTTAGTTTTTGGGCCACACCTTAATATGCTCAGGGGGTACTCTAGCTTTGCACTTAGGGATCACTTTTGGTGGCTCCGGGGTACCATAAGGGGTTTTGGGGATCAAACCTGGGTTCGTCGTGTGCAAAGCAAATGCCTTCCCTCTTGTACTACTGCTCAGGCCCAAAACTGTTTAAAACTGTGGCCGAAGAGATGGTACAGGATGTAAGGTACTTGTTTTGCACACGGCCAAGTGGAGTTCAATTCCTGGCACCAAAGATGGCCCCCTGAGCCCTGCCAGGACTGATCTCTGAGCACAACACGAGTATGCCCTGAGTACCACCATGTATGGCCCCCAAACAGTTCCCCAATCCCCTAAAAAAAAAAACCCAAATTATACTCAAAAGCTCTATGTTAAAAAACATGACTCAGTAAGCATCTGACGGAGTCAGGGGTGTCTTAGCCCCCCAGGATCTCAAGAGCAGAGCTCCTATGCTGGCGAGTGGCTTGAGCAGCACTAGCCCTGCTAGATACCTGTTCTCAACAGCGAGCCCTGTAGGTACCCACTGTCCCAGTAGTGCTCTTTAGTCGTTGTTGTTTTTGGGGGGGCGGGTCACATCCTAATGATGCTCATCGCTTACTCCTCATTCTGTGCTCAGGGATCACTCCTCCATCACAGCTGAGATGGAACGGTGTGCAAGACAAGTGTCCAATAAACCACCTGTGCTACTGTTCCCAGCACTGCTCTGAACACAAAGACTTCATCTGGACCCCCAAACCCAGCAATCAGCACCCATGTGGCCACCACCTCCAGGGCCTGAGGCGCAGCCAACTCCCCAGCAGAAAAGCCGGGGCTCGCCTCCTGCCTCAGACTGCCAGAAACAGGGAACCGACAGTCCAAATAACCTGTACTGACTTCCAGACACACTTGACTCCCACCAAAGCTTCCCGCACCCGCACAGCCCTTCGTACCATTCCGATGGGAATCCAGGTGCTGCTTCGCAGAGCACATCTCCCCCTTCAGGTCTCCAGGCACTTCCAAGCCCAGCTTGTGGTAGAACTCCCTCTGCTTTCTCATTTCCGCTATCAAAAATCAACACAAGGGCTTTAGCCTAAAGTCGGTCTCGAGTCCCTTACGTTCTGTTCACAAATGCCACCTGAGGATGATGACAGGTTTGGATGGTGGAACCCACGAAGAAATTCACAGGTTTCAGTGGGATACCCCCAATCTGGCTGCTGGGTCTTGGCAGTAGAAACAGTCTCACTAGGGGACAGTGTGGAGGTGCGACAGATCTGGGGTTGACAGGATGCAATGATAGCTTTGCAGCTGGCTCTTCTGAGCTCTTGGCCACTCAAGCCCAGGAACTAGTCCCTTACCGAGGGGCCCCTCAAGCTAAGCGCCGAGACCAGGACAACTCTTTCCGCCTGCTACACACAGCAGTTTCACGCCCAAAATGGCCACCATCCCTTCTTAGCCACCCAGAACCTCCTAGACCACAGACCCACTGTGGGACCTGACAGTTCTCACTGGCCCGAATGCAGGATGACACCGAGAGGTCACTGGCCAGAATGCAGGACTATATCTAGAGGCAGTGTGTCTAAGGACCCTCAACATGGGGTCATGGCCAGGGACAGAAAGGAAAGTTTGGCATCCCCACTGGTAGGGAAAGGCACCCTGGCATCTGCTGGCCATCAGAGTTGACAAAACTCGTGGGAAGACCGAGAGGGCCCCCCACTCTGTGGACGATCTCTGTGGAACAGAGATGACCATCCTAGGGTGCCTTTTGCTCTCCCAAAGTGGGGGGCTCCCCAGGTTCAACAGGGGGTCAACACAAAGGCTGGACAGAGGAGCCAGGAGGACAAACAAGCACATCCTCCAAAAAGGGAGCTATCACTCAAGGGTCAGCTTGGTTCCTGTCCACATGACTGGTCATCACTCAGGGTCATGTCATAGGCTACAAACACACGAAAATCTAAGTTGCTTAAACCACTCACCTAAATCAGATTTGAAAAATAGATCTATGTGCATCTGACTGTGTGAGGCTCCTGCTGTGCACTCTGGAAGGCAGGAAACATGCACAGCAAGGCCAGGACCCTGCTAGAGCCCACTGTGCAGGTACCAGGGCTTCTGAGCACTGGGGATGCATGCTGCCAGCTCAAGGGGATGTCATGCTAGGGCCACACGCAGCAAATGCTGGAAGGTGAGTCTGGACATCTCAGGGCACAGGTGGATATGACAGGAGGTGGGGAGTTCTCATGCAGCAGTGGGAAGCATGCAGAACCAAACACTGGCCTGAATGCCCATTTCATTTATCAGGATGAAGCAGGATTGAATCAACCATATTCCATCAGGTATGTACATGTAAGAGATGGTAACTCAGCAGCTTTTCGGAAGATGCCTTGTATGCTGAGCCCCATGTCTGATCACTGGCACTGCACATCCTGTCCCACCCTTATGGCTCTTGAGAAGCTTGTGCCGCTGGCCACACTGCTGGGACAAGTACTGCTGGGCATAGCGCTTGGGTCTGAGCACCCTAGGGAAGTCCCTTTCTCCAAGACTGACAAAAGCATCTTCAGTGATCAATACCGCCTAGGAAAGAGCTAGCAGTGTTCATGGGGGTATGAACCTAGATGTTCAGCAGAACCTTATCCACAAGGTGAAAATCAGAAACAGAAATAAGTGCTGAGGGGTTGGAGTGATAGCACGCGGCCAACCTGGGTTCAATACCCGGCATCCCACACGGTCCCCTGAGCACCGCCAGGGGTGATTCCTGAGTGCAGAGCCAGGAGTAACCCTTGGGCATCACCAGTTGTGACCCCCCCCAAAAAAAATTTAAAAAAAAAAAGAAAGAAAGAAGTTGCTGAGCTCTGCCCACAGGACTGGTCCAACCAGAAGTAGTGCTCACATTCCCCACCACACAGGCCAACATCACACATTGGTCCAGTCAGAAAGTTTAGCGTGGGGGAGAGCTACTTTCTACTGCTCTGCCCAGGGCGGCTGTCCAGGCCAGTGCTGGAACGGATGGCATGTGCCCAACAGTGCAGTGTAGTGTGGGAGGTGTGTCTAGTAAGACAATTTATAGCCAGGAGGGCTCAACTCGTGTAACCCTTAGATGTCGATTTCTTCTTCTGATTCCCTGACTCTTTAAAGATGTCCATGGAGGGTTTAGGGTCATAGGATGGCAAAACAGGCAGTACAAACTGGCTGGGGCATAGATTGCCCTACACAGGCAAAAAAGAGGCATGAACTAGACAGACAGACTCAGGTTCTGGCAAGGTCAGATATGCTCAACCACATCCAAGAACACACAAATTCCTCCGAGCAGGTTCCAGAGGGATGGTGAGTCAACATCATGTGTAGGATGGGGGTCCTACACAACCACACTGCCCATGGGAGCTGGCAGTCATCACCCAAGTGCAAGCCAGGCATTATGGACGTGAGGTAGAGAGAGCCTGTGTGTGGGGGGTGGAGGGAATGAGGGAAGGGGGGGAAGAGCCTGTGGCACACATCAGAGAGGAAGCTACCCTGGGGACACAGGGTGTTGGAACCAGAAAGAAAAGAAAAGGAAAGGAAAAAAAAAACAATCACAGAAGCAAATTTGCACTAAGAAATCTCTACAAGGGAAGAAGAAAGTCACCAGCAACAGATCCAGGAGACAACAATGCAATGCCCCCAGCCAAAGTCACAGACACAGAGGAACTTCTGGGGGTGTCTTGGTGATTCTTGGAGGGACCTGGTGGAAGTGAGATGTGTCTGAACGACCTCGACGAGCAGGAACCTTGGTGTGAGAAATTAAGCTCCTGACTCCTGGGGTCACAAAGAAACTGCATCAGCAAGTGTTGTCAGTAATATCGAGGCACAAGGGGCTTGTATTAAGTGAGTTCCTCTTTTCTGGGAGCTCAGGAGATCAGAGGTCACACCTGGTGCCTGTCTGCTAATCAGGCCAATGGTTCAAAGCCAGGACTGAGGATTCAGAACTGTGTAGGTTCACCCAGGCCAGCCAGGTGGCACTCATGTAGTACAGGAGATGGGACTAGATCAAGTACCTTAGCCCTGAATGACTTCTCCAGCCCCTATTTATTAGAAAACAAAATTGGTACCCAAGAATCTGTCAGGAAATGGCCATACTGTTGCTTATTCCCACAGGACATCATCTGCCACCACTCACATCCTTGTCCTCATCCCTCACCCCTCACTCCTACATCCTTGTCTCTCACCCCTTCAAGAGGAGTTGCAGAAGCACCCACAAAGGCAGATGCTGTGCTGTCAATGAACAACAGACTTGAACTGTATCAAAAAAACATGAGGCAAACACATTAGCACGAGCAGGTGCTTGACAGAGGCATCACTGTCTCTGCTTGGATTGAAAGGTGTCTCGCAAACAGACACAATGACAAGTACAGATGAAATTGGATGTGGGCTTAAACCAAAGAGAAACTGGACCATAATCCACACTTGCTGGTATCATGGACACAACCAGGACACTGTGGGCTTCTGCCTACACAGAAGTTTGAATCTTCTATACTTATTCCATTCCTTATTGGTGCTGTGCACAGTCTCTCTTCTCAGAAAAGCATATTAAAAAACTAATCATTTCTATCTCCATTTTCTCACTTTTCCTGTGTCCAGGAATTTTGTACTAGTGAAGAACTGACTTTTTGTTCCTTCCAGTTTTGTCTGTAGGAGTATCCGCTAACCCATCACCAAAAGGGGACAGAATTTGAGGGCTCCCCTACCACACAGTGCTCAGAGAAAGAACTATATTTCAGCTCTGGTGCTGTTTATGGTATGTGCCCTTCTAATATGCTCTCTAAGATGAAACTGTACGTAAGACTTGGTGGAGGCAGGGGTATCCAGTCCTGCCTGAGCCCCAGTGCCCCAAAGGGCTGGCTGCATGCACGCACACTGGGTCTCTGGATGAAGAAGCAGAGAAGGCAACAGTGCTCTGGTGGTGGGCTCAGACAGAGCAAGGACTAGCAAATTGCAGTGCAGCCTCTGGCCAGAATGCAGGGCCTCCAGAAAGCACAGGGCAGGCAACCCAAGAAGGATGGACTCACCTTCTTGGAGGCCTGGAACCAGTTTGTAAACAATGTCTTGCATGGTTCTGTCATGACTGCAAGAAAGCAGAAGATGTCGAGTTATCTAAAAACACCCACACTACAATTCTCAAACAGCTTCCATTTCATAACATCTGACTCCACAATCACAGATATGATGTTGACTGAATTATTCTAGTTTACACTAAAAAAAAAAAAAGCTAGTTTGTGCTAGTTAGAGTAGCACAGGACCCAAATGCATCACTTAATTGAAGCTCAAGCAGTTTCTGTACCTTTCAGTAACAGAAATCGAGGCAAGAAGGTGGCATGGTTGTCAGGCAGGCGGCCTCTTGTCTGGAAGCCACAGTGTGTATCACCTTCACGGCCTACCCATCACCAGGCTGAAGCCCCCAGGACTACTTTTGGGGAGCCCCGGCACATGGCTTTTCTGAAAAGGACACAAGGCCTTAGAGCCAGGATGGTTCTCTTTATAGCTACTGCTTAATACAAATTACAATTAAGGTGGATAAACAGTGTGACAATTTCTTGATTTTTCAAATTTTCTTAGCTTTCAAACATTATTTACTGAAAAGAAAGCACACATTTTCTTTTGCATAAGTGATTACCTAAATGCATAAGTTGCATAAGTGATTACCTAAATAACCTCATGGGTGCTCAGGACACTCAGCTCGCAGATGAGCAGGGAAGGCTGGAATCAGTCTGAGGCCACCAGTACTTCATAGATTCCTATGATAGGCTGCAATGCACAGCTCCATAAAGGGACCCTCCACTTTCCTGAGACACATTTCACAATGACACAGATGACTGGTCCCATGTACATGTGCAGAGGAAGTGATGCTACATGTGACCCTTAGCAGATACCCATTTCTGCTATTTCCTACCACACCCCTGGGACCTTTTGCAAAACCCATGCAATCCAAAGGAGAGGTGGCTAAAGGATACATGGAGCTGGACATCAGGCCCCTCAACTTCCTGAGAGCCAGGGCCTGGGGCCAAAGGTGACAGGGGAGGCACTGGGTAGGAGAGAGGAGGCACCTTCCTCCTCATTCTTAATGGAGCACCTTGACCTGGAGTTGTGACATTTGCACCCTTATGGCAGGCTGTCATTCCTCACCTCTTTACTCAGAGCCCCCAGCTTTGGCCATTCAGGGCTGCCTCACCTCTGCCACCTGCCATCGGTCCCACTGCCTGGAAAGCAGAGCCTTCCCTAGGTCACAGTCCGGGTGAGAGCAGCGTGGGCCATGGCTGGAATAGGCTAAGAACCTCAAGAATGTGCAGGGCTGCTGAGGTAGACAGAGTCTAGACAGCACCGAAGGAAGACGGGGCCCTGGCAGGAGTCGCCCTGGAGACCCAGGGCCCATGGTGGCAGGATGAGCAGCAACATGGGGTGGGGTACGCGCTCTGCCTACGTTCTGGTCACATGTGATGCAGAGGGAAGGAGAATGAGCAGCTGCATACGGAGATGCGTGTCAGGTTATGTGCACCCGAATGCCTGGCTATATGTCCGTGTGCCAGGTTACGTGTGCCTGGCTACATGTGCTTGGTTACATGTGCCCATGTAATTGATTATACCTGCCCGTATGCCAGGTTATGTGTGCTAGGTTACTTGTGCCTGTGTGCCTGGAGACATATGCCCAGTTATGTGTACTTCATGTGCCTGGTTCTCTGTGTTTGGTTACACATGCTCCTGTACCTGGTTCATGTGTCTGGTTATGTATGCCCATGTGCCAGGTTACACGTGTCTGATTACATGTGCTCATGTGCCTGGTTGCGTGTGCCCAGTTACATGTGCCTGGTTAAGTGTGTCCATGTGCATGTTCCTGACTGCACCACTGGCCCCCTCTCCTCTCACTACCTCATGCACAGTGGTTTATGCCTCTGGGTTCAGGGCTATAGACCACTAAAAGGGAGGTCCCCTAGCCTGTCCCATAGCCCACGGGTGGACCCAGCGCTCGGGAAAGGGAGAATTGTCCATAACCCCCAGGCAGGAAAGTTCCCTATTACCACCTGTCCTCAATGGTTCCTGTGATGATAACCCAGTGCAAGGGCCCTAAAAATGGACACACCAAGGAACCGGAGACTACAGGAGGTAGGAAACTTGCCGTGCACACAGCTGTCCCTGGTTCGATCTCTGGTACCCCATACGGTCCCCCTAAACACTGTGAGGAATGATCTGAGTGCAGAGCAAGGAATAAGCCCTGAATACCACAGATGTGAGGCCAAAACAAGATTGGAAATACATGCACAACTACTGCCAACAATTGGTGCTAGAACAGTAAGAATGCAGCAACAAAAAGCGTAGATCGGGGCTGGGAGATAGTGTAGGGAGTAGGAAGCTTGTCTTGCACGCAGAGAACCTAGGCTTGATCCCTGGCACCCCATATGGTCCCCCAAGCCCACCAAGAGTGATCCCTGAGCACACAGTTGTGCCTCCCTTCCACCAAAAAAAATGATATGCAGGTCAGAGACCTCACAGCTGGACACTAGAGTCCCAGAGCCACTGTGGGCAAGAAGGAGCTCACAGGCCATGCTGGCAGTAAGGCACATGTGCCCGACAGCTGCTATTCCACACCCACTGAGAGCCCAGAGGAACCCCCTCAAGGGTCAGAGGGCCTGCAAGGGGTGCCCTTAAAAGAACTCGAAATGCCAGGATTTCAGCTGCCCTCGCAGAGTCTGTGGGAGGATGGGACTAAGCCAAGAGTCAAGATCAGACACCAGCCTGAGGGCAGCATTTAGGTCTTCACGGAGTGTATGTGTACGCACAGTGCATGTCTGTGTACTGTGCACACACTCAGTGTATATGTGCACTGTGTATGCTCTCAAGTCTGTACTTGTGTGCCTGTATATCTGTGTACTGTGTGCGCTCACGTGCACATGAATATGTGTGCTATGCATACATGCACATCTATGAGTGCATAAGTACTACACACACGTGCATATATGTATGAGTGTCTACATGCACACAGTTATATACATATGTGTACATCATCTCCCTGTGACACATCACATGTTTAAAATATTTCACTGCACCATCATGCTTTGCAACTTGAAAGTAAAAACATGCTACTCTGTCTCTTCCTTCAAAATTCTGTCCCAAGGGCTAGGAAGAAGGCTCCAAGGGCTAAACGTAGGCTCTGCAATCTGAAGCCCTAAGACTGATTCAGGCAGTACATGGTTCCAGAACCCTGATGAGTGTGGCTCAAAATCCAAACAAATCAACAAGAAACTTAGTCCAGTCTCACTTCTGCTGCCCCATGTGGTTGGGAAATAACCTCCAAACCTGGAAGTCTCCCAAACCCCCCCTAAAATAATCTTTTTTGTTTTTTGGGTCACACCTGGTGATGCACAGGGGTTACTCCGTTACTCTTGGCTCTGCACTCAGGACTTACCCTTGGTGGTGCTCAGGGGACCATATGGGATGCTGGGACTCGAACCCGGGTCGGCCACGTGCAAGGCAAGTGCCTTACCTGCTGTGCTATCGCTCCAGCCCCCCTACAAGAATCTTAGCCAACATCTCCTGCCCTCCTTGGCCTAACTCCCTGACACATCCCAGTATAGGCGATGAGCCAAAGTGGCACAGACTAAGACCAAAGGGCCCAGTCTCCTGAGATGCATCTTCAGGCAGGGCAGTTGCAAGGAGTGCCAGTGGGTCAAGATCTTGTCCACAGCAAATGAAGGTCCACCAGCCACCCCAGAACACACAGCAGGCAGTTCAGTGTTCGTTTGGTTCAGGGTCTCAAGTGAACACTGTGGCAGATACTGTGCAACCATGCAGGTGTGTGGTGCTTACCCGATGTACTGCAGCGGGTGGCTCTGGTGGATGACAATGCGGCAGGTGGGACACGTGTTATTCTCCTCCAGGTACTTGACCAGGCAGCTCCGACAGACTGTTCACGAAGACACAAGAGAGTCAGCACAGAGTCAAGACAGCTCGCCTGCACTCACCAGCGCAGAAACCCAGACCACCAGGCGTGGTCGACAAGAACATTAACTTTCAATTGACAAGGTATTTAAAGAAGGAACAATTCTAGCTTCTGCACCAGCGAAGAATCTTCTTAAAACTCAAGTAGGCTTATTAGCTGGGAGGAGGAGAACTAATAGATTGCTATTTATGAAGGTTAAGGAGGGCCCAAGTGGCACAGACTAAGACCAAAGGGCCCAGTCTCCTGAGATGCATCTTGTATAGTGATAGCTTGTAAGTGATAGCTTGTAAGGCAGAGTCCAGGCTCTGCGTACAGGAGGCCTGGGTTCAACCCCCAGCACCACTCGGTTCCCTAAGCACCAAGTCAGGTGCAGCTTCAAAATAAAAAGGTTAGAAATTACTTCATTAGGAAACTTAAATACGTTCACAAGTTCTGCATTCTTAAATGACACCTTATCTTGACTGAAGCATTTTACATTTGAAGTATCTTTTTCCAATCAAGATCTTTCTTCCCTGGGGCCAGAGCGATAGCACAGTAGGTAGGGCATTTGCCTTACAGGCTGTCAACCTCGGTTTGATCCCCAGCATCCCATACTGTCCCCCAAGCACTGTCAGGACTAATTCCTGAGTATTGCTGGGTGTTACCCAAAGAGCAGATTTGCTCGAGCGGGCCCAGTCTCCATTGTAAGACTTCTTGTTACTGTGTTTGGCATATTGAATACGTCATGGGTAGCTTGCCAGGCTTTGCCGTGCGGGCGAGATACTCTCAGTAGCTTGCCGGGCTCCCCGAGAGGGGTGGAGGAATCAAACTTGGCTCGGCCATGTGGATCACGTGCAAGGCAAACGCCCTATGGCTGTGCTATCACTCCAGCCCTCAAAAAAAAAAGGCAGAAAAAAAAGATCTTTTTCCCAACCCATGTCCTGCCTTATGCTTAAACTACTTTTTTTTTTTAAGGCGCAAAGTATAGATGGGAGTATAGCAGGAAACCGTCCCAGAATCTGCACATACAGGTATGTAGACACTCCGTGACTGTGGTGGCATCAATGAGATACCCGCTGCAGAGGCGGCAAGTGATGTGGGCGTTTATGTCCCAGAGTTTGATCTTTCTGGTCAACATCTTTGGCTTCTGCAAGAGGAGCACATACACTAGTTAGTATTGAGACTGCCAGTGTGTTCCACTCACACACACACTAGCTAGTGTCTGACAGAGCACATGTGTTCCACTCAAACACACTAGTTAGAATTGAGACAGCCTGTGTTCCACTCAAGCTTCCAGAGCAATGTAAATCAAGTACATTGTGTCCCTCAGGGAGGCAAACTCAGGAGAGAAGGACAAAGTCGGCCCTCCCTGGCTAGTCCAAGGCTGGGCTCACTGGTTAGACAGAGACATGGGTTAGACCAGCTTAGGGGTATATCGCTTATGGGGTGCAAAGATCAGTCACAAACATGCTACTATTCTCCTTGACCACCTGTGGTTCTGCCAACCACCTGCTGAAGAGAGGACAGTGGCAGCTGGTATAGGAAGAGCTGCAGGCCAGGAGATCTCTGCTGAGTAAAGGGCAGGTAGACCTGAGGCCGCAGGGGTGACAATGGTCAAGCTGGGGTGGAAACAGAAGTGGGACTTTGGCTAGAGCTGTGGCTCCTCCAGAAAGGTGAAAGGGAAGGACAACTCAGATGAGGCCTGCCTGCACTCAGGGCACCTAGGCTCCAAGGACAGCAGGGGGTGAGCAGAGGCACCCATAGGGAGACCTACAGGCTCTCAGGAAGGAAAAGGCTCATCCCCAGGACACCAGGAATGTGGCCATTCCAGGCACACAGGGCAAGGCAACATCCAAAGCTAAAGGGATCCGGGGAGTTAAGCAGAGAGGCTGTGGGTGAGAAGCACCAAACAACCATTAACTGCTTGAACCTACAAACCTGTCTCGTACCTGGACATGGGTGAAAGATGTATAGCGGTGGGAACTCATGACCACCACCTGAAAGGTCTGAAAAGCAGTTTTCCCTGTACAAGGTGAAAGCTTTAGAGTGTCTGGGCCCAACCTCCACCTTGTTCAGGGAAAACTGCATGGGCCTGCCTGCCAAGTTCAGATCCCCCTATCCTCAGCTGGCCCCAGGCCCAGAACTGGGGGAGGGGAGCAAGCACAGAGCTCCTTCCTCCACAATGGCCCTCTGTCACTGCTGCCACCTGATTATGGACACAAAACAGCACACAGTGTTGTCAAGGTCAAATTGTGCCTTTGGCATTGTAGGGCCGGAGCTCCTCATGCTGGCCTCCCTCTCGCACTCACATCTTCACATCTAACTAGCTATGACAGGGAGCCCCTTGGTGTCCCCTTGCATCCCTACCTCACTGTCAAGCACAGAAGAAGCTCCATAACATCCCAGGCCCTGATACTTGGCAGGCCGGATGTCAGAGTCAGAGACTAAGAGACACATGGGGTTTCTGTTGGCTTTGCGGACACACCCAGTGATGCCCAGGGATCACTCCTGGTGGGGCTTTGGGTAGAGTGCCAGGGACTGAACCTGGGGATTGGCCACATGCAAGGCAACTACCCTACCTACCCTACTATTGCTCCAGCCCTTTGGGAGATGTGTGTTATTGGCCAGGGTGTGGCTCCAAAATGAGAAATGGATTCTTGTTTGGAGCCTCCAAGAAGGACCGGCCTTGCATCACCCCTTTTCACTCCATGAGATTCATCAGCACTCAGACCTTCAGAACTGCTCAGTAATGCATTAGCATGGCCTGGACACCCTTAATTTGTACTGATATCTAACAAAGCTACAGAACTCACACAGGCCCTGCAGAGACCAGCTTCAATGTATAGGGCATGAGGGTTTAAAAAAGCTTTACAGCCATAATCATGCCACCGGACTCTGCGCCAGGCTCTTTCACTCAGGGGCACTCCAGAGGGGAGCGGGTGAGACCCCTCCCAGCCCCAGGGGAAATGCAGTCCCAAGGGAAACACTTCATAGGACACACCTTACCCATATTCCCAAGAGTACCACACCACATTTGATGGGATTCAAAGTAAGAGGCAACCAACCTCAGAGGGAAATATATTATTTCGGTTCTGCTTTGGGGCAGGGATTGGGGTTCAGAATGGAAACACCCAAAATATGGTGGTGGGACGGTGTAATGGTGGCGGGGTTGGTGTTTGAATATTAAATGTAATCAAATATTGTGAACTACTAGCTACTGAGAGTATCTCGTCCACACAGCAAAAGCCTGGCAAGCTATCCGTGATGTATTCAATATGCCAAACACGGTAACAACAAGTCTCACGACGATGTTACTGGGCCTGCGTGAGCAAATCGATGAACAATGGGAGGACAGTGACAGTGACTTTTTAAAATTAAAAAAAAAAATTTAAATAAAGAAATAATGAGCTTTACTATGAGAAATTACATGTGGCCGTAAACTCAAGGTAGAAGTAGAGGCACATATGTGTACACGAGTATGCATAGTGAAATGAACTCACAGTAGAGGCAGGTAAGTATTTCATTTTTTTTTTTTTTTTGCTTTTTGGATCACACCCAGCGATGCACAAGGGTTACTCCTGGCTCTGCACTCAGGAATTAGGAATTATTCCTGGAGGTGCTCAGGGGTCTATATGGGATGCTGGGAATTGAATCTGGGTCAGCTGCGTGCAAGGGCAAATGCCCTACCCGCTATGTTATCGCTCATATACACAAATGCATACCTAGGGCTGGAGTGACATGTGCCCCTACTTCTACCATGAGTCCACAGTCACATGTAATTTCTCTTAGTAAAGCTCATTATTTATTTATTTTTTAATTTTAAAAAGTAGTTCACAATATTTGATTACATTTATTTACATATTCAAACACCAACCCCGCCACCATTACACCTTCCCACCACCATATTTTGGGTGTTTCCATCCTGAACCCCAATCCCTGCCCCAAAGCAGAACCGAAATAATATATTTCCCTCTAAGGTTGGTTGCCTCCTACTTTGAATCCCATCAAATGTGGTGTGGTACTCTTGGAGTACAGGTAAGGTGTGTCCTATGAAGTGTTGCTCCAGCCCTAGGTATGCATTTGTGTACACGAGTGTGTGTGCTGATGTAGATTCACAGTAGAGCTGTGTGTGTGCATGTGTGTACTGATGCGGACTCAGATGTGTTGGTAGAGGCATGTATGTGCATTCTGATGTGGACTCACAGCAGAGATAGATAGGTGTAGGTGTGTAGCTGTGTGTGTGTGCACGAGTGTGTGTGGGGATGTGGACTCACAGTAGAGCTGTGAGTGCAGTCATGAACTTGTGCCCACTTCCTGCAGTGTCCCAACGGTGGGCCCCAGTCCTGACATGCACATACTACTGACCCCTAGGGAGTTCATCTGAACCTCGAGTGCTACTGTGCAGGGACCTGGGAGGTTGCTGCTCAAATTGTGAACAATGGGAGCATCAAGGTAAGTTGTGAGGGTCAGCAGGTGTTCAACAGATGGCCCAGGAGCCCCCCAGTTTCCCTGTGACAGAGGAAGGGACCTCTTGTGAAATGTGAGCAGTAGCAGTTGGAGGAGCACTTCCCACCCCTGAGTTGAGGAACTGTCCAGTGGAGGGGCTCAGTCTCAACACTGCCGGCTCAGAAAGGTGAGAAAAAATGAAGGGACAGCTTTGAGTGCAGGGTCCTTTACCCACTGACTACTCACGTTCAGGGACAAAACTATTCTTTCCCTGCCTAAACAGCCAGGGTCCATGGCTGACTACCTTCCTACCCTCAGCTGAGGGTTCGACATTCACGGTACCACCACTGTTCTATGGCAGAGTCCACCCCACTCCCACACCATGACCCTGCAGAGACTAGAAACCAGGGACCACTGGGCACAAACCCATCTGTCAATGAGAGAGTAGAGTGACCAAGACCTTCAAACTCACGTCCTCTAAGAGCTATGCCTGCCAATAGCACCACGACTACCCCCCTCAGGACCCACAAAGGATGGCCATATCAGGACACTGCAGAGAACAGTCCAGAACCACAGGAATAAGATCTTTCTTATGGCTTGGGAATGGTCAACCCTCATACATAGCAGCAGTCCCCAGATAGCCATAGCACCTGGGCCTCAGCCCTCCAGGTACCTGGAGAGCACAAGGGCCTCACCTCCTTTATATGTCCGCTGCTCCCTGCTTGCACCTTTGCATTGGATGTCAGGCCTCTGTCTTGACCTTATGGCTCCTTCTCAGCCGGTGCTCTCTGCTTTGCACATCTGTGCCTTCCTTCTGTCCTGGGTACTGTGTCCATTTTCTAGCACAGAAACGGCACCTGTTACTCCTTTCCATGTCCTGGCTGCTAGCATTCACAGCCTGTGATGAGGCTATGCTCGCAGGCTAGAGTAGCCAATCAGAAACAACATCAGGAGATTTAGAGCGAGAGTTGAGCACACCCTAATTTGCTCCAGAGTTGTCAGAAATGACCTTTTCTAGGGGACAAGGGCTCTAAGCAGTGCTCAGGGGGCCCATCCCTGCTGGAAATTCTTGACTAACTGGGATGATGTTTCAATGCAAGGATGTGAGGATGTGGTGTTGCTCAGGTTCTGTAGTGCTGGAGGTCCCCTGGCCCACATCCAGTGATGCTCAGGGGACTGCGCAGTAACAGGAATGGAACCTAGGACAGGCACATGCCAGGCCTGCTCCCTAACCACTTTATCTCCCAGTCCCAGGGACTATATTTTAAAGGAATCAAAGGAGCTGAGTAGACGACTGAAGGGCTGGAGTGTAGGTTCTTCATGTGGGAGCCCTGGGTTCAATCTCCAGCACTACATGGTCCCCCAAGCACTGCTATGTTCCCAACATGAATAAAGTCATTTAAGGAAAAAAAAAATAGTAAGTGGGACTGGAGTGATAGTACTGTGGGCAGGGAACTTGTCTTGTACCTTGTGACCGGGTTCAATCCCTGGAACCACTTATGGTCCCCTGACCACTGCCAGGAATGAATCCTTGAGGGCAGAGCCAGGAGTAACCCCTGAGGGCAGAGCCAAGAATAAGCCCTAAGCACCACCAAGTGTGACCCAAAAATCAAAATACATAAAGCAAAAAGTGGAGTTCAAAGGAATTACTTCCATGGCTGTACCAGACTCACATGCATATATAAAAAAAAGCAAGGTGAATGCATTTACCTGTACATGGCAGCCTGGAATTGCTGCTACATTTTGATGCCTGTGGAGACAAACAGAGCCGAGTCACCATCTATACTGTGCATGCAACATCCCAACCTGATGGGCAGTGGTGGCCTCACGGATGGGTCTTTGTTTACTGACAGTCTATTCAATGTCTTGCCAAAACAAGTAAAGGAAAAAGAATGTGCGGGCTGGAGAGCTGGTTGATGTGTTAAGTGCATGCTTTGCATACAGGATGGTGGCAACTGAGCCCTACTACCACATGGTTCCCTGAGCACTGCCAAGAATGACCCCCAAGCACAAAGCCAGAGCTAGCCTCTGAGCCTCTCCACAGGAGGTCCCCAAACAAAAACAAAGTGTCATATGAACCAGAGACTTAGATACATGTCTGGGGACACCAAGGCCCAAGGGTGAGTGAGTGAGTGAGTGAGTGAGTGAATGTGTGTGTGGGGGGGAGAGGGGGGGTGGCTGCAGGGGTGATTTTTGAGTTTCCAGATGTCAGGACAAAGGTCTGGGCAAGGGCCCAATGAGGGGTGGATTTTAGGGGTTCCCTGAGAAAGGCTGGGGTGTCAAAGGACAGGGAACCAGACACCAGAGTTGTACAGTGTTCCTCAGTTACTATGACCATACATTTTCTATCAGCATATCCACAGACAGCACAAGGGTAGCTCTCCTGGTCAGGCCCTCAGAGAACACACGGGAGGTCCCTCATGTCATAATCCAGTCACAGCCAGGATGAAGGCATGGCACAAGGCTTGGAGGTAGAGGGCACACAGAGAAAGCGGTGTTTATGCTAGGTCCAAGAGAAGGCAAGGGTCAGGGTGGGCCCAGCTGAAGAGCATGAGAGCACAGGAAAGGACCAGGATGAACCCAGGTAAGGGTAAGGATGTGCACAGAAGGATCAGAGTGAGTACAAGTGAGGAGGGTCTGCCTCCCAGACCCCCACCCCTAGGGGCACAGGCTAAAACCACCAGCTGTGCAGGAACCTCCAGAGGCTGACCCCCTGCCTACCTTCATGCTTGCTCCTTCCCCTGTGCCAGGCTAGGGAACCCCTGGGAAAATGGGCTTGGGTGCCCCTCATCCGCTGAGGCTGGGACAGCACTGCCAAACTCAAGTCTCATTAGACCCATAGTGAACAAAGCCAGGGGTTAACAACAGTGGCTACCAACAATCTAGGAATGACTGCCAAGTGGGTTTAGTACAAGGGGCACTGGAAGAAAAAGCATAAACGGGGGCCAGGGAGATGGTACAGAAGGTAAGAGACCTGCCTTGCATGTAGCCGGCCTAGGTTCAGATCCCTAGTTCTGCATACGGGTCCCGAGGTGGTGCCAGAAGTGGCCCAAAAACACTCCCCCTGACAAAAGGTTGAGAGTTTACTAAAGAAACCTAATGAGCATTCAGTAGCACTCATCTATTCTAGCAGGGCCTGAGAGACAGATACCCTAAGAATCTCCCATTCCTAGCATGCTGGGGTAGCCTAGGTAATCACTAGCCCTGAGGGGCCCTCAAAACTGCATCCTCAGAATTGCTGGACCCCCCCCCACCCACCCACACACACACACACATCCTCTAAGTAAGAAGGAAGTCTCCTTGATCTCAGGGAAGCTGTCCATGAAAGGATACCAGCATTAGCATCTGCCAGAGGTTCTGCCTGACTGTGCCCAGAAGATAAATTCCAAAAGGTTGAGAGACCATCCACAGGGGCTGAGGAAAGGTGAACCCATCAGCCAGCAAGCAGCTTTCCAGAAAGGAACAGTAGAGGGCAATGTGCTATGAGCCCACAACGAGAGAAGACTGGGAACCACACAAGACCATAGTTCAAGAACTGTGGTCTATGACAGGCAGGTTGGAGCTGAAGTAGGACAGGCTGTGGCAGTATGACCACAGAATTGCCAAAGCATCACCTGCATCCTAAATTGGTGAACTTGTGTAGAAACCACCCTAGCAACAGTGTACTTCACAAAACCAAACTAGGAAAAATATCACAGCTGGTGTCAAAAACTGGAAAATATCCAACTCTATACTAAGTGGGTCTTCCTATCCACAAAGAACCAGGATGAAGATCAAATGCAAAAGATAAACTTCAGGGGCTGGAGTGATAGCACAGCAGGTAGGGCGTTTGCGGGTAGGCCAACCCCCAGGTTCGATTTCCAGCATCCCGTATGGTCCCCTGCGCACCGCCAGGAGTAATTCCTGAGTACAGAGCCAGGAGTAACCCCTGAGCATTGCCAGGTGAGAATACCCCCCCCCCCAAAAATACTAAGGACAGTTCATTAAAAAAAAAAAAAAAGACAAACTTCAGCCCTCTGAAAACTGGAAGGCCACTGCCTGCCCTAGGCTGAGGAGACTGATAAAGAACAAGCCACAGCCACATGGGAAATGACTGATGACTTCAGTAATGATGACGACCAGGATGACCGGGATGAGAGAGCATCATCAAAGGAAGAAACAAAAGCCAAGACTAGAGAGATGATACAGTGGGTTCTCTGATCTCCAGCATCCCGTATGGTCCCCTGAGTTCCTCCAGAAGTAATTCCTGAGCCCAGAGTCAGGAGTTACCACTGAGCCCCTACAGGTGTGGCCCCCAAACAAAACCAAAAGCCATACGGTGAGTAAAAACATACCAATGGAAGACCCAACAGACCAGGACAAGATGTCCATGGGGTGCAGAGGGCTGCTCTGTCCCTGCTTGGGACTGAAGTGTCTGAGCACTATGGTCTGAAAAGCTAAGACATTCACTGTCTGGTTTTTCATGGAAGTCTGCTGGGAACTGCAGGAAACATGACAAAGCGAGAGAAGACTGGGAACCACATAAGACCACAGTTCAGGAACTGTGGTCTATGACACATTTTCTTTTATTTTGGGGGTTTGGGGCCACAACCACTGAATTACTCCTGGCAGGGCTCTGGTGACCATATGGGATGCTGGGAATAGAACCCAGGTTGACTGTGGGCAAGACAAGCACCCTACCCCACTGTACTATCTCTCAGCCCCATGTAAGCATATTTTAAAACAGTGTTTCTAAAAGTGGGTGATACCATTTCATCGTGTGGGTTAGAGGTGCCAGAACAATCTAGGGAGGTCAATTGTAGTCTCAGGCACAATTGGTGTGCTTTCTATTTGTTAAAAGTGGCAGATATCCAGGGGAAGATGAATGATTTTATTTTCTGAAAAGGAAATGGTAAGGAAGTTTGGGATCTTCCATAGTTAAAGCATTCAATCTCGTGAGTAATCGTCCCCAAGTGAGAAGCCTAATAACTCACCAGTAACCCACTCATTAGTGACCAGTGTAAGCCAGCCACACTGATAACTGCTGTGTGGCATGGCTTCCCATTTGCACCATCCCAGTATTTCAGGGCCTGTCCACAAAAGCACCACTCAGTCAGCACTGTCCACATCAAGGTGTGCTTGCATCAGCACCATTCAGTCAGCACCATCCACATCAAGGCTTGTCCACATCAACATTATCCACATCAGGGCCTGTCCATATCAGCACCACTCAGCACCATTTACATTAGGGCCTGTTCATGTCAGCACTGGCCACATCAGGGCCTGCCTGCATCAGCACCACTCAATCAGCACCTTCCACATCAGGGCCTGTCCACATCAGCATCACCCACATGAGGGCCTGTCTGCATCAGCACCATCAGTCAGCACCACCCACACCAGGGCCTGTTGAGGTCAGTACCATTCATATCTATTCTGTTCTCCTCGACCTCACCTATATGTCAGCCTTATGTGCTCCCATCTCCAATAACTTGGTCCTTCCTGCTCTAGGAATATGGCTACTGGGCATTCTGAATAGACTACACCAACCCCCACCTGCCCTCTTCAGTGTGCTAGTCCCCACTGTTGCACCCACGTACAATGCTCAGAAAGTAAAGACTGCAGATCAACCAGATACTCCCAGTATTTTCCCAAGGACTCGGAAAATCTCTTCTCAAGTACTCCTGCCTTCCTCCGAAATGCACCCAACACCCTCTCTTCACAAGCTCATCTACATACTTTGGTCACCTAACACCTTGATTCTCACAGATACAGCAACAGTGGTCCTGCTTACTTTCCAGCCCTCTGAAAGACCCTCTTTCTCTCCCACCGACCTGAGGAACTGGGGCTACCTGTGTCCTGGCACCACCCAATCCTTCACTCTGGCTCACCTGGCCCCACAACCTTGCCCTGTTCCCTGCTCACTGGCTCTCACACTCTGGCCCTTGCGTCCAAACTGCTCTGGTGGAACCAGCAGGCTCAGGGCCCCTGGCACTCATGGTACCTGTAGAAACAGCTGAGGTCAAGTTATGGGGACCCAGTGGTCACACCAGCTCCATCAACACACAGGCCAAACCCCAAGCTTGACAGTCCAGTGCAGCATTGCTCTCAACGGGGACATGGAAGCTAACCAAGTTACAAGGGCAAAGGCACCTTCGCATATTCTTGGGTAGGGCTTCATCTGATCATCAGGAAAACAAGAACACCCTAAAAAACAATGATTAATGAGGGCCCAGGGAAGGCTGTGAATTCAGAAGCTCAAAGGGTTCATGGCAGGGCTGGAGTGATAGTACAGTGGGGAGGTCATTTACCCTGCATGTGGTCAACCCTGGTTGAATCCCCGACACTCTTTAGGGTCCCCCGAACTGGCCAAGAGTAAGCCCTGAGCACTACCAAGTGGCCCCAAAACCAAAACCAATGAGCAAAAACAAAGGCTCATGTTTCCAGTGTCTCCCTGAGATCGGCCCTCAGGCTCTGCCTGCTGGGAGCACCACAGCCCATCGATCCCCTCAGTTGCTTCCTACAAGCCCTCCGTCAGCTCTTCCTCCTCCATCATCAGTTGATCTGGGAGGCACAGCAATACCCACAAACATGTAGTTGCCACACAGCTGACTGATGCATCCCCACCGTTGAGTCTAGAGCCCTACTATGATTCAGTGATGAGGATCAGGTCACTAAGTAGCGACACCACCTGTGTCACAGAAGCACAGTCTGGGCCACACAAGGCTCTCCTAGCCAACATATTGCCTGTTGGCCTCCAAAGCTGCACCTCAT